CTCAGGATTGTGGTACTGCTAAGAGTTATAAGTTGCTTCAAACTGTTTAGTTTAAGTAGCTAAGCTAACATCATCCATAACTATAGAGGCTCAATTATGCCCTAACATAACGTTATACGTAGTGATCGAACTAAATTACGAGCGCTATTGGAGATTGTTTTGGTTTAGTTGGATTAAACTCTCGACCAATAAAATTGCTATGATGATATATGTGCGCACATTTTCTGATTTAAAATAGTACAGACTGGGGCTCAGACAGATTACGACTATACTCGAATATTTTATTGCATTCCATAATGTAAATGTCTCAATACATGGCTAACTTTTAAGAAAATCAAACCAATAATATAATAATATAGATTCTTCTATGTACCAATATGACATTTAACATACTGTCATTTGTAAGCAGATTTTAAATTTGGGAGAGCCATGCTTCGGCGCGAAAGGTCAATCACGATCATGGGCAGCATCGATTGCATACCACCAGGTAATGCGTCTGCTTGCGTGCTGAATTATAAAAACATATGCCATAGAAAAAAAACAGCAAACAACTGTATAATATTTTTTATTTGTTGCCAACAAACTCCATTTTGGCCTCATCCAAAAGGCCATTTTGCACAATAAGGTGAGTTCCACCTAGACAAATTATCTTTTTTAAAACTTCAAATAATATTTATAAACTAAAAATCTATAGATATGTTTGGTGCTACCTAGTCATAATAATGTATATCAATGCGAAAGATTCGCATTTATAGATGTTCGTCACTAAATAAACATGATCAAAATCAACCGATTTGAATGAAGCAGAATAACAAACGTGTAAATTGTGCAGTGTCCGTGGGATATGGCAACATTAACGGAGTTTTGGTTATGTACCATAACATATGAAAGCAAACGTTATGGTTCAAAACTGGATTAGAATTTATGTTAACCATTATAATGTAGAGACATTGAGACGAGACCGAGGCTTATTCTAAGGAAGAATACAAAATAATTCGCGTATAAGGAAGTCTTGAGCAGCGAACACGATTTATCTGATTACGACAAATCTCCCTTGAAAAGAAACAGATGCTGACATCCAGTGCTTCCTTTGATCCTTCAAGAATTCACAAGCAGCGCGATATGCCGATCGAATTCCATTCAACTCATGTAAACATCGGTCATCGGCACACAATATTGTTATTTCGGTAACAATTTAATACCTTGAAATTCAAGTATATTTTGATCATTTACAACAAATATTAAAATAATTGAAATCTAGGCATTCACGTTAATAGCTTTAATTTAGTAAGGTACCGTACTTGAAAACATTTATAGTTGTACATAGTGGGACGTAACAGACCACCTCTACTGTAACGCGTGTTTTACAACTGACACCTTTATAATAAAAAGCTACACAGGAAAGGTTTTCATATGGTTAACAATTTACGAAGCTTGGAAAAACAAAACCCAAATAATCGTGCGGCAGTGAGGCACGCGCCTTCATTTGAATAGTAAGAAAGACCCTTCTTTACATGAGAAAAAAGTGGATAAATAACAAGAAATGTGGCCTTTCGGGATACGTTTTATAACGTTAATGGTTCAGGGTCGCTGAGTCACGCTTGCGACACAGGGAACACCCGGCACTCTTGGCATGCAACACTACGCAAACGCAAAACGTTGTTGCCTGTACCTCACTCATTGGGTAGGTCAAACACTGAAGTATCCAATCATACAAACAATACACTCAAGACTAATGTGTCAGTAACTTAGTTGAGATTATGTCAATCAAAGTGGTGATATGATATTACAATCACCACTCACGTGTCTAACAGTGTGTTATCAAGTTTTGAAATAAAATTCTATTTATTATGTACAATAAAAAAATTAAACAGCTAAACACCATTCATGTAAATTCTTACATTATGTATATTCAAATGAATATTATGTATCAACTATAAGATAAATTTAAATAAAATCTAGTGGGAACAGATTTTTGTTTTTACTCTCCAATATTTAATATATAAATATAATAATAAAATATATGTTGGTTGTTGGTACCAGTTGATATCACAATGTTAAAATTGATTCTCAGAAATATCACGTTTTCAAATATTAAGATGACAGGGTTTAAATAATGGATATTGGTGAACACAATGATCATGGGGTATTGTCGAGAACACGCCATGCTATAAACGCATTCGCACTCACATCCTCCACCGAGGTATGACCGCAGTTGTTCTACCAACGCTAGCATAGTTGGCGTGCGTGCCGCATACCACGCTTTACGCCATCTGCAAAAGCAGTGCTCTTCAACAATCTTGCCCGTAAAAAGGCGGCGGGTGTTAGATATGTAGTTATTTACACAAACTGAAAATCAATCATACAATACCAAAACTAACAGAAGACCTCTATTCTGTTTTGTGCCACAAAGTTATGAGATTTCACTGAGTTTTGTTAGTGTTACAGAGGTGGGTGAATTAGTGGGAGATTAAAGACTTAGTAGGATTTTAATGTTGATTTACATTTAAAATTTAAATGTAGCAATAATTAATAACATTTTCTTGTTAGCTAAACCATAGTACAACAATGTTCTTTTTTCCGTAATGCATTTCCTATCATGCCTGGTGATAAGCGATGATACAACCTACGATTGGGCACGTCTACCCATAAGCAACCTATTCACTCAGATCTAGAACCAGACCCGAGCGTACGGCGCGTAGCGTTCCGCGCGCGCCTCAAAGAGCCAATAGACCACCACAGACGGGGCCCAATAGGGCTGATGTTCAGCTGGGGTTGCGGGGTAAGCGCAATGAGGCACCGCGGCCCCAGCCCAGAGCAATATTTCAGTAAGAGTCTGATACTCCCTCCCGCCCCACCACCACCAACCACCACACAATAATAGTTATTGTATTGTAGGTTTCATTTTTAGCGAATGGATATAACTCAGTAATTTTTTATGCCTGACAACACATTTTTGATAGCTAAGCTAATTTCTAGGAATGAATGGGAGTATATAGAAAGTCATATGTGATTTTTCATCCATGAATGGTGCAGCTTATCTGTGCTTGAATAGGTGTAGTGGGAGGTGTCTTAAGTTGGATGCATACAGTTAATAAAAGTGAAAATTATGCTACAACATACAAAGCATATTTTAAGCATTTCAAGGCATTTTTTTTATAAATTTGTACAAAAACAAACATTATGATTTGAAATGGGTTAGGTTAGGTTAGAGCACAGCTATTGACTCGGAATGATTGTACAATAATGGTATGAACAAACACCAACAAGAACATAAATATATAATAATATGTAATTACAGTTAAAAAGACATCGGTGAATTGCAATATCTATTTATCATTATGAGGTTGTTATGTTATCAAAGCATTAGGTCAAGACTTTTATAATTTAATTACTTTTACAACTGTTTAATATTAGATTCACAACAATAACAGATACATAAAAAATATCTCTAACTGCAGAAACAACTTAAGCTCAGAGCCACTTAACATACTTCTAGAATAAAGATTTATATTTATAAGCCCTCATTGCAACAAACTAAAAAATAAATACCTCATTGAAGATCTGACCCAAACTTATACTTTATTATAATATTCTAGTTTTGTAATAATTGCTTAAAAAATCCTACCCAGAAACCTTATTCTTATTACCAATTGAATATTAGGTAGGACCTGAGTTTATGCAGTCTTGTTCCATAAATATGAAGTTCAATTCAAAACAAAAATATATTAATATAATGTAGCACAGTTAGTTAATCAACTACTTTCTAAAACATACAAGCTATTATTCTTTATTTAAGAGGAGAATGGCATTGTAAAGATAGGTATTTAAAAAGTTACTGTTTTAAAGTTTAAAAAAAATCATTATTGCTACCAAGGATATATCAACACAGTATAGTGGAGAATTGCAAACCTAAAACAATGACAGCACATATTAGATTTGGTTAGTTATTTGATAGTATTGCTTGAAATCATATCTACGACTGTATACAGGGTATAAAGTGGTTTGACTATTAGGGCTGATATAAGTGAATATTAGTCGAAGAACAAAATCCTAACTTATTTTCATACAACAACATAGATTCACTTATTAATTTTAAAGTACACATTTATCACGTAACGACGCAAAGAAAAATTCTGTAACCAAAATTGAGCCTTTCAGCAATATTCTACAGCATCTCGTTAGAGAATTTTATAAAAGTTAGGAATCTGACAAAGTATAAATTAATGTGATATTTTTTAATTAATTTTTGGTGATTGTTTACTGTATGATATACATAAATATATTTCTTGGAAAGGACAATAAACTTGTTGTCATCAGAACTTAATACTTATAAGACATTTAGAAAAGCATATGAATATTCTCATATTTACCATCATCATTTTCTTGAATTTTGTCAGTTGTAGCGGTGTTTCCTGTTTGTGTCATGCCCTTAGACAATTCGTCCATCTTGCCGTACACTGGTTCGTTACATCAATCATTAAAATCACAACACAAATTATAATAAACTAATAGAACACATACTGTACTATAACTCACAACGCAAAAAACTCAGTCTTTTTTGAAAATAACTAGTTTTATCCATTTCAAACACATTTCTAAAACTCTGTAGCAGATCTACGAACCAAATTGAAGTCCGTCAGACAAACCATAAACAAGACAGTCAGTCAGTAAAAAAAGCTAACAAACCAATTTTCAATGTTGCAAGCACAAGTTTCCCATACTCTTTGAGCCATAGACATATTGTTTGTTGTTGATCATGGTGGTATTGTGCTTTTTTCCATTCAATTGTTGGTAGAGAATGCGACTGTCATTTAATCAACCTGCTTCTGTTCTAAAATCGACTAAGTAAAAATAGGTAACCATTCAAAAACTGCTATGTATAAAATTAGTGTATCGTATTAAAATAAAAAGCATCCTTTTTCAGGAGTAGATGAAGTTCAAATTTAAATAATTATTTGGAGTTATAATTGCACAAAAATTCAATCAAATTGTTGAGAGTCGAAAGGAAACGTCATAATAATATTTAATTTATTTTTTTCCATATCTAATCTGTGATTCAATTAGTCTTTGTCGCAAGAATAATAGCGATAGTTTTGATAAGATAATTTGTTGTATTTGCATAATGATAAAACAATACAATGGGATAGAACTATAGCAAATGAAAATCATACCGTGTTGTTTTATACGTGTAACTAGTTTATTTTTTGACATAATTGGAAGCAGGAACAGAATGGATCATTTTGGCCTCTCACACATATTGCTCGAGCCAGATAAATATAATCCCGATACTTTGGACTTGCTAGTCGATGAAGAAGCTAGAGAATATTGGCTCAACACTTGTGAAAAATTGACCGAGAAGTATGTAAATTTCGCGCTTCTCAATAATGAGGATCCTACGGTTGAAATACGCGCACTTAAATTTAAAACTTGTTATGTAGAAGCATTGAAGGAGCTCAGAATTAATCCACTGTAAGTATTTTAATTTCGAAATTGAATCATGTCATTACACTGGTAATTTTCGATGTTTAAATATTTTATGATGGGTATACATAAGGGAGGATTATGTTTTATTTACATAAGGATCGTATAAATTCAGATCTATGCTATTGATAAAGATTGGATTACTTAGATATTCTAAAACAGTTATTGTTCTAGCTGACTCAATAATGTATTTTTCCTTAATCAAATATAAGTTTTTTTAGTGGTTGTTAATACATGGCCTAACCAGCCTATGCCAGTGACGGCGCTCGCGTTATCTGAATAAAGCTAGCCTATGTGTTATTTCAGACTATAATATATCTCTGTGTCCAAATTTATCAATACACAATAGGTAATTTTTAAGTAAGACTGAGATTTGCATTTCAGCACATCAGGGTTCTATAACTATTTACATATTATTTTTAATTAACATGTTTTTTTATTAATTTTAGTGCTCATGGGCAGTTGACCATTAGATTACTTCTTGACATCAATGAAACATGCCTACGTTCACAGGGGTTCTTTGATTTGTGGAAAAAACAGAAAAAATATGAAAATGATAGTGCATTGGCCACCTTAGCTACAAGAATAGCCGAATTAGATGCTCTGCCAGATGACCGACAGAGGTGGATAGAAATAATTAGAGGAGTGTTGGCTGGTAATTTCATAATTATTATATTTATTGATAAAGATAATTTCATAACGATGAAATGGGGTGAATAGATACTAGGAAAATTCACTTACATATTTTATACACCCCTTTTGTGTATCTATACAACCCATTTTACGGTATTAATGTTAACACATCCAGTGCCCCCAACGCGTATGTGCGTTTCCTTACGCTACTCTGTGTGCCCTCGACGTGCGTGCGTTCTATACATTAATGTATTAAACAAAGGTGCGTCGAGGGCACACAGAGTAGCGTAAGGAAACGCACATACGCGTCGGGGACACTGAATGTGTTAATTATCATTCTATTTAACAAAAAATAAAATATTATAATACTCTGATAGATAGAGTACAACCATTTCTGATGCTTTATAAACACAAGATAATATGTTGACAGCAACAGAAAAATGTGTGTATAATTATATTCCTATTGTCCAAATAGCAACCACAATGTCTGTTCACATTATTTTAATTGGAATGCATCAGATTAGATGTTCCTGTATAAAAATGGTAGTACTTACCAACAACAGTAATAGAGGAATAGCTGGCAAGAGCTGGCATCTTAATTAATTCCTTAAGTTGATGTTTTTAGGCAATATGTTTGACTGGGGAGCCCAGGCTGTAACTAGTATTCTTAATAGTGGACTGTATGAAGCACTAGAGAAAATTCAGAAGAGACCATGGTTGTATGATGGCTTAGATAAATGGCTTGATAAGCTGGAGGTAAGACTTGCCAATGTTGGTTTTAAAATTATATTTTTATCATGATAAAGTGTGAATGATATAAAAACAAAAGAATAAATCCTTTACATTGTTACAGAAAACTGTTCATCATTGTGCAGCTGTGTTTGTTGATAATAGTGGAGTTGATATAGTTCTTGGTATTTTGCCATTTGTAAGAGCATTATTACTTAGAGGAACTGGAGTAATATTATGTGCCAATGAATGGCCAGCTCTTAATGATGTTACCAATGTTGAATTAGAAGAGATTTTACAGAATGCTTCACATATTTGTCCCATAATCTCAGCTGCTCTATCCACAGGAGATTTAGTAGTAAGATCAAGTGGACAAAGAGGTCCATGTTTAGACCTTAGGACAATTAGTGTAGGTAAGTTGATGAATACCAGAATTATTGTGATAATCATTAATAAAGAGAATATTGGGTTACATTATAAGTTTTATTTACAGGACTATGCACTGAAATGAAGGCTCGTGGAGTGGACTTAATCATTTTAGAAGGAATGGGCAGAGCCCTCCATACAAACTTAAATGCTCGCCTTGCTGTAGATTCATTAAAAATTGCTGTCGTAAAGAACACATGGTTAGCCCAGAGACTGGGTGGTCCTCTTTTTTCTGTTATCCTCATTTATGAAGAAAAACAGAGTAAAATATAAACATTAATTGATTAAAATTGATTTTGATTGTGACTGTCCCCAGTATTCATTTACCTACATTTAGAATTTAAGCCATTGATCTTTTGACACCATTTCTATATAGTGATGTCTCCATAAATTGTGCATTCATATTTTTAGAATGCCCTATCTTCTTGTGTTGATGTTCTTATAGTAATTTTCGGAATATATTGAGTGTTATCTTGAAATACTGTTTTTATTTTCCTTTAGTCCTCAACTCACAATTATGTGCGGTTTGACGCCTAAGTTTTGAACTTAGGCTCGACATCAGTATCTTGGTAATTTAGCAATATGTTTACTAATTTCATGGCAAACCATAAGTAATAATCATTTTATTTTCTTTTTATGCAGTGATTAGATTGTAAAACGTTAAAAGTCCGTTTTTAACCTATAATGATAAGGTATCCCTAGTTAGGTATTTTGTAAATTCCAAACAAAAATACTTGGACTTGTATTGTTTTATTGAAATAAAAATGACCCAGTTCATACAGCTATACACTAAAGGAAGGGCCATATAACTTCTCAACAATTCATTAAAAGTAGATGAATGCAAGACATTATCAATATCGTGTAAGTATTCACTGTAGAAGTTGCAGTTTTATACAACAAACAACATACCTACCATATAAAAAAAGTGTTACCTAAATGCTAATAAATAATAATCTTTAATGAACAATAACACTTCCACCTTTACTACATTGGAAAGAGACATTCTACAGAATATGTTCCATGAAACAATCCAGTGATTCAAATTTCATAAAAGTCAACAGTACATGAGTAGGACTTCATCTTACATTTTAATGATGCCGCTCCTAATATTGTTTAGGATCTATTCAGCCAAGCAATAACTTTGAATAACAAGTATGCTATGCCAAAAGCATACGCAATTTTTTCTTTCTGTTGTCTCTGAAGTTGCTCTGCCTCAATTGACATTACACGACGATTCAATTTAACAATCTGACGCCGGAGATGTACCAACTCCTCAGAAGTTGATAAACCCTCACCATTTCCAATTGGTGGTGTTGGATCTCTGAAAAATTAACCAGAAAAGTTTAACATGATAAAACGCTGAAAACATTTAGTACATGATAGAAATTTAGTCTTACCGCAATACCAAACGTGACTCAGTCATAGTAGACTCATTGAAATTATCAGGACGGGGAGTAGTGGAACGAGCCCCATCACCCTGAGACCTAAAGTTTCTAGAGTTCCTTGGAGGAGAGTTAGTTGGCACGCCTTGAGGAAAGTCATCAGCAGACGGAAAGTAATGTTGGTCAAGTGTAATTACACGAGGTGGTGTGCTGACCCGAATCATACCAGGGTCTGTTGGTAGCACAGCATTATCCAGCTGGATTTCACGAGGTGGAGCTTTTGTCCCTGTAAAAATAGAAATTCGGGATATGATTAGTCAGTATATTAGATAACATGCAGGACCACAGTACATCAAGTCATTTGGACATTATTAACTTATTTTAATAGTTAATACTAAGAATTGTCCCTCAATCATTCAACACAGGTCATAAAGTAAATAGTTTTTTGGCATACATCTGTTATATCTTTACAACTTGGTTACTAAGACATTCATGTCATGGATTTAAGCTTTAACTTTTTATAAATTGACTACAATAATAATTTAATCAGGTATGGTAATCATATGTAGCTTACCTTGATTGATAAAATAAAAGAAATTTAATCATTTACAATGCCACAATATTGTGTGACATATTGATGTTTCATTACTTTTTAAATAACTGGTACTAATGATGAAGCATTATCTAGATGCTGTAAAAAATTAAGTGAAGCAAAGAATTTTCAAACAATACCAACCAACATGTTGGTCCTGTCCCACAACAAGTATCCTTTCTGGTACTTTCATGTCAAACTTTTCATTTGCATAGTCCCAGCCAGACACTATTCCATTTGGGGCACTGTCTTCATCTACAATATCACCAGTAGCCTAAAACAATATTGTGTAACAGTCCTTTTTAATGTGTAATGAAAATATAATTTAGCAATCACCTTTTAAATGATGAAAATATTTAGATAGAACAAACGTGAAAGCATGTAAAATATTACAGGTTCATAGTATGTAAAATTACTAAACCTACTTACCCTGTTTCAAACAAAGATTCTAATTAGTTTTGTTATAATTGTTTTAGTAGTAATTATTAGATTATTTCAAGTTAATGGTAACAACAGTAAAAACCTTAGTAATCTGCATTTTATTGCATAAAGTTAAAAGTAATTATGGCATTTACCTTGATTCTTTGTGGCACAGTCATATGGTGGCTGATAAGCCGTGCATAGGCTTCGTCAGATGTGTACTGCATCGTGGCGGTATAAAAGCCTGATAGGAAAAAAGCAATATAATAACATGGCATAAGGATAACGTAACATTTAAGTAACAAATTTATAGGATTGTGTTCAGTTCCATGATGACCAGTGATCGGTGTAAACGAAACAAACAAAGGAAAAAAAGAAATTAAATGCTAATGAAATAAAACTTTTATCAATGTACATTTCTATCGAGCATCGTTTAAAATTTGAAGAGTGGTTTAGTAATAAAAGGGGTAGGTTAAAATATGTACAAAATACATTAAACTGTAAAGTCGACATACTTACTGTATTTTTATTTTATTATTAATTTCAGACAGTTTATTCCATCTGGGTATATAAAGAAAATAATAAGACAATCAGAAGGAATTTATTACACAGGCAGTCGCCAATCGTGATTGACAATTTTGACAATAATTGTCAATGATGGATGACAATCAAACCATTTACGTCCCAATGACACTATATAGTTATTATAGAAATAACTTTATTATAGTGCCACTATTTTCGGACGACACTATCGTAATTTCCAGAAGTCATCGCATAACGCATTTTATTCCTTTGATTAGCCTTTTCAACCTAAACATATTTTAAAAGTGTCTAACATACACGTTTTCATAAAAGAATTGATAAAAAAATGATTATTATGTTATTATAATTTTTTTTGATTGGATCATATTGTTTTTGACAATGCGTTGGCCAATTACACTAACGAAATAATTTAAAGCATGCCAGTGTAAAAGAAAACAAATCCAAATTCTGTCAAGTGTACAACACTATACGCCGTGTCTAACTGTCATTGGTGGTTGTGTTGTCTCATTTGAGGATGAGAATTATTATGCGAAGTCTATGAAGTTTTCACATTTATTCATTTAGTATTTTAAAACTTGAAAAGCATGACCACTAGTAAAGTGTTTTGTAAATGTGGCACTTTTAGATAACTTATATAAAATACATTTCAGTAGCGGTAGAAGAAAAACTTGTGCACAATGCAAGCCACCGGCTTAAGACTTTCTTTAGTTATTGTAGCTTATGTTCTAATTAGTTTGGTTTTATGTGAGGATACTACCAAACCTTATGAAAAAAAGTCTAAATCTGTAACCACGTTTGTCAGTGCAAAATGGGAAGCTACACCGATTGTATTAGAACTTGCTGAATACCTCGCTGGCGAAAGCACCGATTTGTTCTGGTCCTTCTTTGATGGAATAAATTCACTAAAATCTAGTCTTGATTCTCTTGGTAAGTCTAATAACAGTGGTATGGAATGATTGACATTATTGTAACATGATTGCTTCAATTTATTTGGTTGTTCTTTAAGTGTTTCTCTTCTTACACATTTATTATTCACTCTAATATCAGATGAGAGTCAATCTTAGAATGTTAAATTCTCTCAACATTTAACACACGATACTGCTGAATTATTATTTATTATTATATTGAGTGCAACAATCTGTCTTAGGTCACATAATATACCTTTGCCATATTAATTTAATATACTTAAAATGTACTACACTATACCAAATATACAGAAGTTCACACTTAATTACTATGTCTTGTATAGGTAATATTATAATTTGTAGTCAATCTTGTTGTGCTTATATTATTAAATTATTTGTAGAGACTGATAAACAAGTGTATGATGCCTGTATTGGAGTTGCTAGCACATTGTTGGCTCCTGCTCAGCTGAGGATGGCTAAACTAGCTCTCTCCATGCATCTCACATCCCCCACTGTCCGAATGTTTGATCAAATTGCAACACAAAGTGGAGCCAAGGAGGTTGCATGTGATGCATTTGTATCAATAGCTTCAAGGAAAATTTGTGATAATGATGCTCTAAGAGATATTTTGAAGTCATACAACCAGTATGATGTGGTAAGTTATTGTATATTGTATTGTACTCACATCTATTTAAATCCCATTACTTGTATTATTTCATTATTGGTAGTATGGTTTCTGGTAATTTAATTACCAAAAGACAAATGAAATGTGAAAATGTACTTTTACAATTCTTTCTTTTATATTCCAAATATGTCCAATCCATTTACCTAAATAAAAAAAAATACTAAAGTGTACTTACCACTCTTAGTATGTTTCAATTATTACTTGAATAATGGAAATCAGCCTTGAAATGCTAACTGCAATCATTTATCGTGCAAAATTACAATGTCTAGTGCAACTCATTGTTTATGTTATTATATTCATTTTATATATTTTTTAGAATGTGTCCACTTGCAAAACTGAGTTGTTCAGCATGATAAAAAAATAGGCTTATACGAAAAAGATTTTTCTTATATTATTTAAGATTTTAAATATTTTAAATTTTAGGAAGAACATAAGCAAGCCACCTATTTACTGGACCATTCGTATCCTAGTAGTGACAACAAGAGTCTTACTGCTATCTTGTATGGAGAGCTAGGAATGAAAGATTTTACAACAAAACATAAGATATTGTCTACATATGCAGATTCTGGAGCTATCAACTATGTTGTGAGATGGAATGTTAAGGCAAGTCTGCTTTTGTTGTCATAATCATAATATAAGCATAAATGAAATAAGTTTATTCATAAGAAATATTTATTCAAGTTAATTATTTATCCCTATTATTGCAGCCACGTGGTAAGCCCAAGTTGCGTCTATCAGGTTATGGTGTTGAGTTGCAACTAAAGAGCACTGAGTACAAGAGTCAGGATGATTCAAGACCTAAGGAGTCTGAAGATGGAGACTCAGGTACTCCACCCTCTGAGGAAGAAGATGAGAATGACCCTCAGAATCAAATTGATGGATTTAATTTTGGACGGCTCAAGTGAGGCTAAATATAATTTGTATTATAAAATATTATAATTAATTATAATTTTGATGACACCTGTTTGCCTGTGTCTATATTACTTACAGTTTTTACTATTATAATACCATTCTGATAATAAATAAGTGATCTTTCTGGAACAACACACCATACACATGTTATTGCACTTAGTCTTTCCGTGATTCATAATTACTTATTTATTTTAATTAAACATAGGAATTTATTCCCCGGCTTACGTTCGCCCCTGGAGCGCTTCCGCCGTCACTTGTCCGAGTCGAATGAGGAGCTGGCTCCTTTGAAAGTGTGGCAGATGCAAGCATTGAGTATGCAAGCTGCAGTGGCCGTTGTCGATGCCAATGACGCGGGAGGTGACGAGTCACTCAAAGTGCTGACCTCTATTGCACAAAACTTCCCCATGCAGGTAACTAAACATAATAACAAACTATTAGTATTGGTACCTAATGACAGATAAAGTGAAGCAATATAGATATACTAAATACTTTTTAAATTTGAACCCAGAAAAGGAGAAAACTAAAGTTTGTTTGTTTCAGACAAAATCATTGATACATGTGAACGTCCCTCGTTCTTTCCGTGAAGAAGTGCTATATAACCAAGATATATGGGCGTCATCCCTGGGGCTGCGGCCTGCGGAACCTCTGTTACTCGTGTCGGGGGCTCAATACGACGCTGAGGAGGTCGACGTGATGGCTCTCTTAGCTGCTCTAAAGGAAGATATTGGACCCATGAATACTTTACATGCACTTGGTAAGTTCGTCTATTTGGGATTCAAGAGTTCTGGAATACGAATGTAATTATAAAAAAACTATGGTTCAAATTTGATTGATATAGGAAAGTCAGAATCAAGATATCCTATTTCAACTTATGAAAAAATTATAAACGATTTTGATCTGTATTTTTGTTTCTTTTATCGCTATATTCAAACGAATGCTTTTGTTTTTAGGTTTGTCTAAAAAGTTGATCAACAAATTAATGTCTCTTGAATTGGGTGAGGCGTATACATGGGAGGAATACGGTCTGGACATCCGCGATACGTCGATCACGTGGCTCAATGACTTGGAAAGTGACGAACGGTACCGTCGTTGGCCCTCATCATACATGGAATTGCTTCGACCTACCTACCCCGGTATGCTGAGGAATTTGAGGAGAAATATTTACAATTATGTGAGTTTTACAATATAAAATAATTAAAAAAGCAAGTTTAATAGAATTTACAAGAATAGTGTTGGAACTAATGTACTATAATTACTAAAATGTTGAAATTTTTGTAGGTAATTATAGTAGACCCAACCTCTTTGGCCTCTGGACCGCCTCTGAAACTGGGTGAGACGTTATTGAAACACGCGACCCCGGTACGCGTGGGGCTTGTCTTGGCGCCTAGTACCGATAACCCAGAACTAGAGGCCGCCGTCAGATCCGCATTCAACTACGTTGCGCAAGAGAGAAATTCCAATAAGGAAGCTTATTATTTCCTTACACAGGTAAATCGAAGTTAATCATATAGATAAATTCATTTAATAGCAAGTGAATTTTTTTGACCAATATTAATACATTTTGGATCCCTTTATGATAAGTTGATGCTATAGGTACCAATTGGGTACTTACCTCATTCATAGATAAACTATTTTCAACTTTTCAATAGATTAAAGATGAAAAAATAAAATTTATTTCACGACATGTTTAGTATTATAACTTTTTTGTTAAGTACTTACTCACAATCTCGCACAAAACCCGACAACTGCCTACTTCACTTAGTGACAAATAAGTGGTTTGAATTTCAATAAAATATAAAAATGAAAACACATTAATTAATTGATTTTTCACGATCTACATAATAATTGTGGTGTTAATTATATTTTAAGAAAAATATTGGTTAATTGACGAAAAAGAAACATGATATTTTTATAAAATTAACTTTTCTATTGTCTAATTGCATGTTTTCAGCTTTTACACCCGCCTCAAGATGAGAAGTTGTCTATAGAGTTTGTGAAGAAGCAGCTGAACAAGTATGCTAATTTCAACACGAACATTAATGATATCCTCTCGGAAGATTCAGAGTATAACTTTGGAAGACAACTCTCTGATGAATTTGTATCGAAAATCGGCACCAACAAATATCCTCAGGTTTGTGATATTGATTTCTATGTAGAATTTCACGAAAAACCTCTAAAATATAGGCCATAAAATTTTACCATGACTATTTATTAATAATATAGTAGTAACATTAGTAATACTACTTAGTCTTAAATTTTGATTTAATAATCTTCTGTACTAGCTAGCAAATGTAAGCTCAATAAATTTTCTTACCAATATTTATTATTGGATGGATTTATGATGTTAGAGGTAGATGTAGAAACAAACTATTGTCCAGGTGTTAGTAAACGGCGTGCCTCTAGTAGAGGAAGGTAACTCCCCCGTGACAGCTTCAGTGGAGTTGCTGGAGGAAGCGTTGGTAACGGCTCTGTCTCGCCACACCGGCAGGCTGCAGCGCGCCGTTTTCCGCGGGGAACTCTCAGACTCTGACGATGCAATCAACTACCTCATGAAGCAACCTCATATTATGCCCAGGTTAGTTAGTAAAACAAA